ACAATGAAGATTTAGGAAAGAGTAGTTGAAGCTAGGTTGAGGCAGGAAGTGGAGATTTGTGAACAACAGTATGGTTTCATGCCTAGGAAGAGTACCACAGATGCAATATTTGCCTTGAGGATGTTGATGGAGAAGTACAGGGAAGGTCAGAAGGAGCTGCATTGTGTATTTGTAGATCTAGAAAAGGCATATGACAAAGTGCCAAGGGAGGAATTGTGGTTTTGTATGAGGAAGTCAGGTGTGGCAGAGAAGTATGTTAGTTTGGTGCAGGACATGTATGAGAATAGTACAACAGTAGTGAGGTGTGCTGTTGGGAGGACAGAAGACTTCAAGGTGGAGGTGGGACTACATCAAGGATCGGCCCTGAGCCCCTTGTTTTCTTTGGTGATGGACAGGTTGACAGATGAGATCAGACAGGAGTCCCGATGGATTACGTAAAGACAGAGTACATGTGTGTAAACGAAAGGGAGAACAGTGAAATGGTGAGGTTACAAGGAGCAGAGGTGGTGAAGGTGCAGGAGTTTAGGTACTTAGGATCAACTGTTCAGAGCAGCGGAGACTGTGGAAGAGAGGTGAAGAATAGAGTACAGGCAGGATGGAACAGCTGGAGAAAAATGTCAGGAGTGATCTGTGACAGAAGAGTGTCAGCTAAGGTGAAGGGAAAGGTTTACAGGACGGTGGTGAGACCAGCCATGATGTATGGTTTAGAGACAGTAGCAATAGGCAGAAGACAGGAGGCGGAGCTGGAGGTGACAGAGTTAAAGATGCTAAGATTCTCTTTAGGAGTGACAAGAATGGACAGGATCAGGAATGAGGTCATTAGGGGGACAACACAGACAGGAAGATTTGGAGAAAAAGCTATAGAAGCCGGATTGAGATGGTTTGGACATGTGCAGAGGAGGGACAGTGGATACATTGGTAGAAGAATGTTAGAGATTTAGCTACCAGGTAGGAGACAAAGAAGAAGGCCAAAGAGGAGATATATGGATGCAGTGAGGGAGGACATGCAGAGAGTTGGAGTCAGAGTAGAAGATACAGAGAACAGGGAGAGATGGAAATCAATGATCTGCTGTGGCAACCCCTGAAAAAAGGGACAAAGCTGAAAGAAAAAGAAGAAGGTCTAAATTGTTAAAAAACAGGAAGAAAAGATACAATTTTGAAAAAATAATTTTCATGAATTTTTTTCACATTTGACTAACATCATGCAATAAAAGAATTTTTCTGAAAATGTCCCCAAAACACATTTTTCTAAATAATTTCTTTAAACGCTCTAATAACATTTTCATGACATTTTTTCCACATCTGACCTACATGAAATGCTAAATAAAAAATGTTCTGACATTTTTCAAAAATAAAATTTTCTAAATATTTTCTTTAAATGGTCTAATTTGTTGAAAAACAGAAAAAAAAGAATTTTGAAAAAAATTCAACCAATTTCATGATTTTTTCCACATCCTACCAACATGACATGCGAAAAATTCCAAAACAAATCTAAAAAAAATCTTAAAATGCTCTAATTTGATGAGAAACATGTAGAAAAGATAAAAGTCTGAAAAGAGAAACTCAAACATTTTCATGAATTATTTTCCGTCTGACCAACATGACATGCGAAATAAGAATTTTTGAAAACTTTCCAAAAAATAAAGATAAATTGAAAAGATAAGTTCAACTCACCGGTGCTGAGGAGTCGTGATTGCGAAATGTTCGCTCCGCTCTCTCACAAATTGTCAACTGCTTTTCGTTGATCCAAGTCAGTAGTAACTTGTCCACTTCTAATGTCTGTGATCACAGTCACTCCTTTGGCAACCTTAGCTTCTTTTTTGCTTCCTTGGTTTGAATGATACAAATCGACGACTTTCCTAAGCCAAAGCCAGATCTGAAACACGAACGCCATTCTCATTCTCTTCACTTCCATTGCTGTTCACACTACTTTTCTTTTCGCATTTCCCTTGGTAATTTATGAAATAAAAAAATAAACAGAAGCACAGCGCAAGAAATAGCGGCTAAATCAGACAACGGCTCTTAGCGTGTGTATCCTGAGTTCGGACTGATGCCACACGCTCAGTCACTCAGTGACCACCTGCTGCCCGCCTGATTGTTGGCATTTTCGGCAATCGAGTTATGGTACGATACCCGGGGCGATCATTGGTTAAAACGTTTGTTCGTGAATCGAATTGTTCGAAAAGGAAGGCGTTCGATAACCAATGTTCCTCTGTACAAGTATTACCGCAGCGGCACACTTCGGTCCAGCGTACTATAATCCATTGGAATCCTCTCACACCGAACCCCCCGCCCTCTCGCCGTGCCCTTCCCCCGGGGAGCCCACACATCTTACAGATTTGAAGACCACCGGATAAAGAAAAGCATCACAATTAAACAACAAACGCCACCAATTTCACAATTCCAAAAGATGTGTATAAAGCATTGTTTAAAAAGTGACTGGTTAGTTGTGCAGTTAGGAAGTGCAATATCAGCCCTATTGCTCTGGAAATATAATTTGCACATGATCTGTGTGAATATATTATTACTCTGTTTGAAAAGACTCAACTCTGAAGCTGCAGGACTTTCAACTTGACTTGGGACTTGTCTCAGGAATTGAGGGCAAAGACTTGCAAAACAGTGACTTGATCCCACCATTGCTTCAACCTTTGATGAAAAGCAACATAATATCCTAATAAGAATTTGAAAAAGTCGTCAAAAATTGTTAAACAACAAGAAGTCAGTTCTTCACAGCAGTTCTTATTAGCATGACACAAATAGGACCAATCTGTAAATGCACTTACGAGGAAAAACAGAATCACAGCTTTACATGTAGACATTTATTATTCTTTGTTGTGCCTTTGTTATCTCAGCAAGAACAAAACCTAAATCCACATTTTTAATAATAAATTAATATTCTCAAAGTCTCTTAATAAAATACAGAAGAGCCAGCACAGGAAATATTTAGTGTCCTTAATTTCAGTAAAACCATTATTTACATTTGTACTTTGGTTATATTATTAAAAACACCATGCAAATGCAACATGCAACACACATGCACACCTTAAGACCAGCTCCAAGCATTTAGAACACAATTATTCATTGGAATTGCTGCAAATATGATAATTACGTTTGGTAGCACACTGATGAAATGGTACATTCTGTACTCATACAGTAACTCGGTATGTCTAAGCTTGGCAAGAATTTCATTTTTTTAACTTGTTTTCACTGCATGTGAACACAAATGTACACCTGACGCATATTGTACAGTCGAGGTCATAAGTTTACATACACTAAAGCTTAAACGATTTAAGGCAGCTTTAACCCAATGTGCCACCCAATTTGAATGAAGACATACTGTATGTGGTTATTCAATAATAGTGTCTTCATTATTCTGTCAATGGAGTAGATCAGAATTTCTGACCTAAGATAGATATTTAGTTGATTTCCCCAAATGGCCTCAGATTCTTGTGGTTCATATGTTTACATACACCCACTTGTCTGGTCCATTTAACAGTAAATTAGTTGAACTTGAAGGCTGCCCTTTAGTCTGGTGTTCATTCATGTTGTGTAAAAGCCAAGGTGTAGAAATTATGGGGCATAAAAGCAGCTTGACTTTACACACTGCATTTCGACTTGAGACTTGCAATGGGAAAGTCAAAAGAATACAGCCATGACATCAGGGAGCGAATTGTTGCCTTGCATAAGTCAGGCTTGTCTCTTGGGACCATTTCAAGGCAGCTTGGTGTACCAAGGGCATCTGTTCAGACAATTGTCCACAAATATAAGCAACTTGGGAGAACAGCCGTAATGCCAAGGTCTGGAAGGAAACGGAAATTAACATCCAGAGATGAAAAGCTTTTGGTAAGAAATGTAAAAATGAACCCCAAGATCACCAAGAAAGCCATCTGCAATGAATTGTCTGCCTCAGAAACAAATGTCTCAGTGTCTGTGGCGAAGAGAGCTCTCCATCGACATGGACTAAGAGTACACCGGGCCAGAAAGAAGCCATTACTCAAAGAGAGACACAGAAAAGCTCGGTTGAAGTTTGCAAAAGAGCACCAGGATAAGGATAAAGCCTTCTGGAAGAATGTCATGTGGTCGGATAAGACAAAAATTGAACTTTTTTGGGCATAATGACCAGCAATACATTTTCCAGTGAAAGGGTGAAGCCTATAATCCCAACAATACCATCCCAACGGTCAAGCATGGTGGAGGAAGGCTCATGTTGTGGGGTTGCTTTGCAGCATCAGGAACTGGTGAACTCCAGAAGATCAATGGAATCATGAGAAAAGAGCAATACTTGGAAATATGGGAAGAAAAGCCAGCCATACCTCTGCAGCTTGGTCGAAAGTGGCTCTTTCAACAGGACAATGATCCAAACCATAAAGCAAAATTAGTTTCAAAATGGTTTCAGCAGAACAAGGTGAAAGTACTGTAGTGGCCTTCACAAAGCCCTGACCTGAATCCTATCGAGAACTTGTGGACTGAACTGAAGAAACGTGTCCGTAAGAGAAGACCAACAAATCTGCCTGAGTTGTACCAAATCTGCCAGGAAGAGTGGCTAAAAATTCCAAAAGATTACTGTGAGAAGCTCATTGATGGCTATCCGAAGCGACTTGCTTAAGTTATAAAAGTTAATGGAAATGCTACCAAATACTAAGCCCTGAAGACAAAGGTGTATGTAAACTTGTGACTCGGTAAAAAAGCAGTGTTCTGCAAAGAAATATTAATAAATCTCAAATTATGAGGAAGCTTAGCCTTTTCTTTTAATTTCCCAAAAGCATTATTCCTAGGGCATTGTGGATGCCAGTTTATTCATGATTCAAGTGTGTAACTTTAACTTTGCATGAGATTTAATAAAGGAACATGTACTGTATGTAAACTTCTGACCTCGACTGTATGTCACAAAAAACATTTTAAACGGAAATTTTCGCTATTGGATAAGGCAGTGCTCCAAGTGTTAAGAGCATCTCTAAATTCTGATCAAAGATTATGTTTGGCAGTCGTAACCTTGGAGAACACAGTAAACTCCTGAAACTGATACCACATTAGTAACACCTTGCCCATGTGAGTCAGAACACCATAATCCCTTAGACCAACCTACTGCCTACTAAAAGTGTGACTCTAACAGAACTGCTGTGATTCAAGCACATGGGCTCTCTCTCTCTCCTTTTCTCTTTCTCTCTCCCTCTGTGCCTATGAGCCACACAGATGTGTAATGGATGTGTAAGCAACACAATTAACCAGTGCGACGAAGACAAACACGCAGCTCCCTTCATCCTTTGCTTACAGTAGGCAGACAGTGAGGACATACTGTATGTTGGGTTCACACTAACTGTTTGTTTGTGGAGCCATTTCCTTGGGAAAACCCGACTTCAGAAGCCAATTTTGCCCCGGGTCATGGAGTAGCCCAGTTTGGCCTCATTATTGATGAAGGACATGATGCCCAGGTATGTCTCAATGAGGAGGGGTCTCTCCAGGATCAGGACACCATTGGCACGACCAGGAATTGGATGCTCTTTGTGAGCTTTCTTTACTGCCTGGACAAGTTGAGTGCGGAAATTGTCCATCTAAGAGAAGTGGAAAAGTTTTGTAAAAGTAGTTTCAGATTAAACAGGTGATGATTATGAAAAATGTGGGATGTCTCAATTATGACAGATTGGTCTGACAGTTTTCATTAGCTTTTTTTCAATTGAGGACAAGTGAATGTCCTCGCTAATCATGTGCTCAGTATAAAAATGTCTCACATACTGTATGACAAAAGAACTTGCAGCCTCTGGTCATACCCGTTTGGCTCTTTCACAAAGAAGAATAAAATCAGGAGGAAGAAAAGCTGCAGCCTCTCAGTGCATTAACAGGGACTGTACCTGGCACAGAGAAGCAACTTTCTCATCAGCACAGGCCATGGGATGTTCAGTGAAGGTGGCGTAGGGCATGTCTGTGGACCAGGGATTCCAGCGGTTAAGGAACGAGGCCCGAGGACGTTTGTCCCACTGAACACGAATACCATAGCCCTCCCTTCTGTGGAAGCAAACTCAATGCTTTAACTCTCACAACACCGTCTTACAGCTACAGATGAAGAATATCAAAGCTTCTAGCAGAGTTTAGTTATAGACTTTACAGAAGAATAGATTCTTTCCTTCAACAACAAATTTTCGAAACAATAATTTAGTGTCTTTATCCTCTGAATTGTACAACATCCCAAGGTGTTGTTTGGACTAGAGAATCTTGCTGTAATCTTTTGACTAAATTGGATCATAATTATCAAAACTATCAATACAAAATAAAGTGTAAAAACTCCTTTCTTTGCGAGCATCCTTGCTTACTTGTTTAGAGACTTTGGTGGGAACTCAAACTCGCCCACTGAGATGGTGTCCACAGCGTTGAGAGAGATCCTGATGACCTGCTGACACACCAGGTTGATGAAGTCATACTTGCAAACCAGCAGTGACCTGACGCACAACCAAAACAATAATGATGTCATCAATTGTTGACATGTGTAACATTTTCCACAGACTAAAGTTCTGACATTCTCTTCTTACCAGTCTGTTATGAGCACAAGTCTTTCCTTCTCATTGTTCCAGTGGTCGACTCTGTAAATGTTTCACAGCGATTCACAATTAGACATCACAGAAAATGCCTCATTATTATAAAGAAAGTACTGAAAAATATTTTTATGGACTGGTTAGCAGTCAAGGAGGCGTTTGAAAGTTTTGAAAACAAATGTCATGTGACTTAGTTATCTTAAAAGTCAATTAAAAATTAACATTCAAGTAGGGGTGTGTATGGGCAAGAATCCTACGATACCGGGGAAACGATAAGATATAGTGCAGTACTACAGGCATGTTGATGTATTGAATTTTTAACAAATGAATTGTCGGAAACATGTCAACATAAACTCACAATGCTGTTACATACTTCACATCAGGTAACTAAGATTGGGACAGAAGAAATAAAAGCAGAATATTATGAATCAACACCATGAATACTAATTCATACTAATCATTATTAAAACCTGTCAAATGTCCCTTGGCAAATTGTGGCTTCAAACTCAAAAGTGTGTTATTATTATTGCCCATCAGGATGAATATAAAGAATAAGGAGACCAAAATGTAATTTCTCTCAGCAGCAGCCATTAAACTTCTCCTGCTCTTCGTGGGGGATCTTCCTTTGCCTCTACTAAAAAAAATACATAAATTAAATAAATAAATACAATTTTATATCCAGCATTGGTTTCTGCAAGTAAAAACGTTGGATGTAATATCTACACTGTAGCAGCTGCCAATCATGTGCTTGATTTGTGCTTCAGGCTGATCACAACAGTCACATGTTCCTAAGCCACTTACTCTGCCAGGAGCCAGACACTGAGCACTTCTCCATCCTCTGAGGGCAGTGCCACAGTCCTGATGTCACTCACAGCCTGCTCAATGGTACCTGGCTGGAAACAAAAGCACATGTAAAATAAAGAATTTATTGAAGTAGTGTAAAGTGCTCCTATATATGAATACAAACCCCATTTCCAAAAAGTTGGTCAGATAATTAATTTGAAATACAATTTGTGTTTTGGTTATTTGAAACTTTCACTGACTAATTAAATACAGCATTTGATGAATGTAAAAAATAATTGAAATGTCTATAATACACTGCAGAAAAATGGGATGTACGGTCTGTTACGCTAACTAGGAATATTTTTAGGTATCCTGAAAAGGTACTAAAGGTGTATCAGTGAGTTATGAAACCAATATTTGAAATGAACTTTAATCTAAATCTAAACTTTAACCTAATAACACACGTTATTGGATTGAAATTTTTCACAGTCAAAAGTTTATGCATTGCAAGGGACAGAAGGACTATGTTCAACAAATAATTGTGCTGCTAAGAGCATGCACAGACTATATATCTTCATAATCTGATGTGGTTTTAGCACAATGAATGTGTTGCTACACCTCAGCTTTACTTATAATGAAATCAACATACAACAAATGCTATTTAGGAGTGGTTTTGTAGGCCACGTAAAATCATTCGACTTGGCGTGCCAGATTGGGGTCGCGGGCGTTAAGTTTGACACATGCGGTCTATAAGCAAATCATCGATGAGGATAACGATGTCACCAATTATCAGCAGTGCTATGTATGTGTGATGAGTGTTTACTAAAAACACATAAACTGGAGTACGGACGAGGTTGTTTTTAGCATATACGAAGACAACGGAGTCGCACATCCACCCACCCTGAACACAAAGTAGTCCTTCACTTTGGCCTGCACCGTCGGGTTATGCACATGAAACGGTGTCAGCGTCTGTAACGGGGGGCAGCAGGCCACAGAGGCTGCGTGTCCCAGGCTTCGTCCGGCCTCTGGCGGCGTGAATGCAACCTCGACCCCTTCTTCAGTTTCAGCAGAAGTAGTCCTTCACTTTGGCCTGCACCGTCGGGTTATGCACATGAAACGGTGTCAGCGTCTGTAACGGGGGGCAGCAGGCCACAGAGGCTGCGTGTCCCAGGCTTCGTCCGGCCTCTGGCGGCGTGAATGCAACCTCGACCCCGTCTTCAGTTTCAGCAGGGTGGAGAACGGCGGCTGGGCCGGGACTCTCCGGCTCCACCGCGTCGTTCAGCTGGAGCATGGTGCACAACGAACCGACGAGGTGCCCGACAGGGATGCCGAGGCTTAGATCAGAAAGTGTCCATGCAATACGTAGTCGCACATTGTATTACGCAGCAACAATGTTTTGATTCTGATGGCTACGAGGAAGTGAAGCCCTTTGCTCCACTTCCCCTTTTCATTTCCTCCCTCTTAAAGGGACAGACTGCGTTTTTTCCACAGTATGGAGTCAATGGACAATAAAATGATGGCGATAACTCACAGACGATGTCAGCAGATCATCATCTGCTGACTCACCCAGACACAGATTTCCACAAAACAATTCATTAAAAAATGTTTATTTGACAGATGGCAAAACACATTATCTAGTTATCACTAGTTATAATAAACATCTAACCACTGTTCATTATAACACCGGTAAAAAGAACGTATCACATGTGCTAGGCAGGTAAGTATACAATAACGTTAGTTAAACGGCTTTTAAACGGTTGTATTAAACAGGGTGGTGCATAGCTCCTCAATCTTGTGTGTTAGTATATGAAAAAAGTTGAAATCTAAGAAAAAAAGGTTTGTGCTATACAGTGTTCGCACAGGTGAACAATGTGTGTGACAAAAAAGAAAAATATCACTATTTGTGAAAACCTGAACAACCTAGTGAACAACCTAGTGCAAAACAACAACCTAGTGAAAACAACCTAGTATATTATGACAAAATTAGAAATAGTAAAAACATCTCCAAGTACAAGTTTATGCAAAAATACAATTTGATTGGCTGGTAATTGTTTCTAAGAAAGCACAAACAAACTAATATCAGCACATTTATCTCTATCTATCTAAAGACATTCTGTAGAAATAGTAACAAAGCATGCAAAAATAAACAAGATGTTAAAGTTAGGAAACATTAGAATCTGTACCTGAAGTAAAGTGACCGCTGCATAAGCGGAAGTCGTTGTCTATGAGGTCCCACCGCGGCGTTTGTTTGTTTTTGTTTTTCGCTTCTGACTTGTTTAATTGTGCTAATCCACTTTTGTAGTCTTTCAGGATCTTGTAAAATGGCCGTCCCTTCGCTTTTCCTCGGCCGTTCCAGTATCCCGGGAACCAACAGCTATCTACCATTCCTGTGTATTTCTTTGTTCAACTTTACCTATTAGCAGTGGTAGCTAGCGGTAAAGCACCTGTCGGAATGGGTGTTTTGATTTCAAGTGATGCGTCACGGGATGTGTGACATCAACTTCCGGAGCTCTATAGCAGTAAACATCAATGTGGTGACAAAACGAACTACACAGGAAATATAATGAGCAAAGGCGCCATCTAGTGATAATATGCATTTTTGCTCGAGTCTCCGGAACTTTACACATGCCAAGCCTATCAGAGAAATGAGTGATTGAATAATGAAGTGATCCTAAAGAACACACAATGACTCCTATCTCACAACTCAGATACTGAACTTAATTCCTGTTTTGTTTTATGTTTATGAATTTGTACACACTTCAATAAATAACGAAACAATCAATTGTTTTAGCAAGGGCTACATCTTTAAACCAGTCTGTAAACCATACTGTACATGATAGTAATTCTCACAACTGTCTGTACTTTATAAACCTTTCCTTTCAATATGGATGACATTCTTCAGTCACAAATCTGCCTTTCATTGTGTCACTGACATTGTACTTTTTTTAATAAACGGAAAATATTAACTTATTGGATAACTTTTTGATTATGTTTGTTTTTCATATGTGAGTGCCACTCACACACGAACATTACGGCTGTGTTAGATTCATGTATGTACAAATGCAGGGTGGACATCTCAAATAAAAAGCACACAGGTTTTATTGCATATCAATTTCATGTATAAAGTCTTCATAGCATTGGAAAGATTACATTTGGTTTACATCGCTATTCTACAGAATTATCATCAGTCATGTCTTTTCAATGAAATTTCTCTAAAGTACATCTTCAATAATCACAAGCAAATAAACTGCAATGTCAGAATTGTTCAACATTATTCTACAATCCTTTATTGTTTATCATTATGTCTCCCACAAGTTTTTACTACTGTATGTCTTTCAGAGCCCACTGCCCAAATGATGGTGAGGCAGCCAAGAACTAGAAGTCAAAACTACTAACCTAACCACATGTACAATAAGTGCATCTACCGATTTCTTTTTTTTTCTTTTTTAATATATTTTGTTGATTTGATACACGTTTCACAAATGGACATCATTATGACTGCTAAACACGTCATGCACAATATCTTTTGTTTGTTTTCCATAAACATAACAGAGGTGATATACAACTCAGATTCAAACAAAACAAGCACCATCCACTAACCCATGTTTTCCATTGATTTTTTTTCTTCTTCAGACAATGGTTTTTCATTCTTTAAAATACTATACAGTTAAAAAGGAACAATATGTATATATATTTATATAGTTTTTTTTACTTCTTCTGTAACAGTGGGGAGGAACAGCAACCGCGTTCTATTAGGCTGAAATATATTTCAGCCACCATCTGCCAGAAAACTTCATAAAGTTGGCAAAATGGAATACTTCAATGCCATCAAAGAGTTTGCTTTACACAGCGCGTGCTTATTACAGTAGTCCATGACATGAATTATTACATCTAGTCATCCTAAAAAAAACGTAGCAACCCAAGACATTTTATAAGTACAACCTGGAACAGCATGTTTACCACGAATGAAATCTCATTCAGTAGTTTTATTTAAAAAGACTCCTGTCCATAGAAAAATGAGATGACGCAGCAGTCTCGGCACCACACTGCCCCCTGCTGTTGAGACAAAAAATATACAGTGCTTCTGTTTCAGATGTTCCTAATTGTTCATCTTGAGCACACGGGCTGCTCCTCTGATTTAACTCGTGTGAAAACGAATCTGTGTTCTAAGCTTTAGAGACTAAAACCTGATCATTCGCAGGCTTGGACCCATGTGGTTTAAGTGCTAGTTTGAGAAGACAGCATCCTGTAGCCATCACACAGCTATCTATGGTAAATGTGTCATGGCCTCCATGGCACGGTGACATTTGGAATGGGTTTTGAGTGGAATATATCGTCAGAGTGAAACTGGAAATTTGGGTTTACCTGTTTTTACGTGTCTAGTCTGGAGCACGTTATTTATTTTGTATGTTGAAGGGACTGATCAGTTGATCAGCAGAATTCAATTTTAATACTAATCACGGTTAATATGATCTTGTTGCTGGTTTTACAAGAGAAGTCCTTTCTGTGTGACCACATGATCATGCAGATGTGACTGTGTGAAATGTCGATCATGCATTAACGAAAATAAGATCTTCTCATTGTTGTCATTCATATGAAAACATAGGATAGAGACAGCCTCAATATTGGGACTGTGTCTGTAACTAATTAGCACACATGGTTAAATAGTTCAAAGAATGGGGGATTAACAATGTGTTCCGAAACAAACAACTACTTTCACTATAAATAAAAACACTTAATTTCATGGACTCTTTCCTCGTTTTGGCACACGTATGCATCAAAACCAGAGATTCAGAATCTCCTCTGTGTTCTGATAAGTGTTTATTCCTTCAACAATAAGGGGAAAAGGGGGGTCGAAATGAGTTTTCTCCACTTTCGCTCCTCCAGTCTTGACAATACAACCAGAAATAAATACATACACACACTTGTGAACTCAAATATATAAGAGCGTAATACGAAATAACAACTATGACAGCAAATGTGAGCCCCTCGGACATGAAATGATTGTCAGAGAACAAAACATTTTCTATGGGTTATTTTTTTTTTGGCACATACCACTCTTGCTATGAACACCTAATTATTTTGTACACCATATGACAATATCATACAATTTTGGTCCTTCTCTAAAAATAATTATATTAACAAATTTAGCACTGTAGTGCCTACAAAGAAACAATACTGTGGTATCTAAGAGGAGAGTAAGTAAATAAAATTAACAGATGACAAAAACATAAGCAAGCAGAGAGTCTTACTCAGTCACTGAGTAGGAGTCAAATTAATTTTCAGCATGATCATGATCAAGTGGACAGCCCATCAGGTTGGCCAGTGTCCCAGATAGCTCATTAAAATCACCAGCTGTTGTGCACGTTTCAACTCAGAACATCATTGTCCATCTAATCATTCACTTTAAAAAAAAGAAAGAAAAAAAAAAAGAAAAAAAGAGTCTAATGCAATGGTCATTTGCTCAAGTAACATTTAATGTAGTACTTTTGTTGATTCTGCACTGAAACTGTAACTGAAACAAGCTCAGTGAACGTGATCGCCAACAGTAGGTGGAGGACACCTGGAGACACTATATCCCCAGTATCACAGCAACCCCGTGTGGACATGCAGTACAAATGCAGTGCTGACGCTGCAGTGCTTGCAGAAGGCGGTGGACACAGACTTTAGAGACATACCAGTCAGTGAGTGTCTTTAAAAATAAGAAGCCTGATGTAGAGTTTCTGTGGTGTAGACTGAGCCTCGAGGACTTGAGCTGTCAATGCTTTTGAGACGCAGTCATGGACGTCCTTCACATCGACAGGAGCTTAGCAGTGCTTACGCTTTGACATAGTCTTGTAAGAGCCCCCACCCTTTGGGACAACCTCCACCCTCCTCTCCTTCTCTCTCTCTCCTTTCCATAGACACACATTTACACATATCTTAAATGAATGTGACAGAGAATCCACCGGGCCTATACCTCCAGTCACTACTCATGTCCACTCTTGTCTTTTGTTTCTGTCCATGAACGAAACATTCTTCTCCCCTCCTCCCCCTCCATCTCTCTCTCTCTCGTCTAGATGTGGTTGAGTGGGTGAAAGCTGCCCGTCTCAGACGGCCCTCCTCCCATGCTCAGCCAAGCGTCCAGAGAGTTCTGGGAGGGCGCGTGCAAAGGGTTGTTCTCGGAGAGAGACAGCATCATTGCATAAGCCTGGAAGACACAACAGGTTTTTTCCACATCAGCAATAATTTCAGCTAAATTTCTAGAAAAAAAGAGATCTCACAAAAACAGAGCAGGCATTCTCCAATAAGTTACAGTAGAAAACTTCCTGTGAGAGAACTCTGTAGGAAAATGTGTGTCACTAAAATATTCATTAAAAGGCGAAAATGCTGAAGAGTAGAACAGATTTTTAGTGTTTTCACAAAAGGTGAAAGATTTGAAAAAGTGTCAACAAGGAGTAGGATAAACAGCCTGGTGAATTAGTACTGAGGTGGTTGATGAACTGTACTGTATCTCATGACATCACTGACACCACTTTTTTGTATTGAATTCATTTTGTTCGTTCATATCAGCCTGTGTTGTTTTCAGAGGGCATGTCAGAGCAGCTGCAGCCACATACCTGGGTTTTAGCCTGCCTGTACAGTGTCTCTTTCAAAGCCTCCGACTCTAATGAAGTGTTAAAAATGTCTTTAACATCAAATGGTTGCTCGTCACCGGTGGCTTTACGCAAACTCTCCAGGCTCTTGGTAAAGCTGGGCAGACCCTCTAAGTCCATGAGAGCTCCCTCCTCCTCTATACACCTGGACACCAAGTGATGGACGAAGGGCAGAAATGTAGTAGAGCAGAATGGAGTGATAGAAGAACAGATGAGAAGACGCATGAAGGGGTGGGATGGACGGTGAGTTAATATATGGTGGACAAAGAAAGGAGTGGTGAGGAGAAAAAACAGAAACCGTTAGGAGCAGAGGACAGTGAGGTTAGGAATAAACAGGTAACAGGAGAAAACCAGTGGGAGAACGTTGAGGCAAAGCAGAAAGTAAGGAGGAAAAAGAGCGAGTAAAGGACTAATATAGAGGCGACGCCTGTCAACACATTCAGTAACTGCTTCAGACCAAACTGTACTTAGACAATGACATTCACCTGCGAGTGTGTTCATAGCTCAGAGCCATCGGAGCCGTCTCCGTCTCTTCTTCCTCCTCGTCCTCCTCTTCATACGCTCCTGTTGTGACCGGAGATGGAGACTCTGGTGCCTCGTCATGAGATTTTTCTGTTAGGCTGCCTTCTTCCTCCTCCTCATCATCACCCTCTACCTCCTCCTCCTCTTCATCCAGCCCCTGCAGTCCTAGTTTGGAGTTGGACAAACTGTGGCTTGGTGGACGGGCGTCCTCGCCCTGATCTGACCTACAGCAGGACAGAGGGATCAAACCACAGCCATGATTAGACGTGGAATAAAATGGGTTTTATAAAAAAAGTACAGTCTGTGTATAAAAAACAAATATATTTTAAAGATGTGAGACATTTTTCTTTTGGTCAGAATTTTCAAATTGTCATAATTTCAAACACAATTTCCAGTTAAATGTCACTTCACATCTTAAAACTAATAAAACAAACACTTCACACCTTGTTTTTCAGTTTAACTGACCAAGTGGACAAAAGGAACATAACTTTAATTTAGATTCCTTTTTTATTTATTTTAATGCATTTTTCATTTCTTCATTTCCTTGATTTTGTTTTCATACTGAAACCTTGAAGCTTTTTTGTAGTAGAGTGACTTAAAAAAAAGAGAAAATATTTTCCTGGGTTCAGTCTGAGTCTTTTCTGATCAGAGGACATGACTCGACCACAGTGTCCACCTAATCAACACAGTTGTTGACAGTGTTTTCCCAAAGGCTGGCCATGATGGATGGGTCCGCTCCTCAGTGCGTCTACACACTGGTTCTTCTGTGGCCGTGACGGTGGAACAAACTAACAGAAAACAGTGGCTGATCTGCAAACAGGCTATCAGCACACCACCATTATGACCTGCCATCTGTACATTTTCCAGCCTGCACCACCACCTCTCCTCCATCAGCCCCCTCCAGACCACGATGTCATGCCTCATGATATCATTTCCTCTGGGATGCCAAATTTACCCCTTCCATTTTTTTTGCAAACACGGGGAACATTTATCAAATGAGACAGGATTACCTCAGGGACGGCGTGCAGAGGGACAGGAGTGGGTCACACGCAGTGGGTGGGTAAGTGCAAACAGAGGAAACTTTTTTTTTCTGAGATGGAGGTTTCTCCTCTTTCAATCTAGATTAAATATCACCATAATCAAATTGCAGGCTCTGGTTGGCGGAGGGAAAAGTCCCTGCCTGTGTATGGGGGAAAGAATTGAAGCTCTGACACAGGGGGCCCTGGGTTTTGTCATTTAGTCTAAACACGTCAGTCCAGTGTTTGTGTTTGCAGCCTTGGAGGATCGGTGTGGACCATGCAAGGGGGAAGAGCTCCATCATCAGTGGATCTCCTGGATAAATGCCTCCACTCAGCCCCCCCCCCGCACTCCCTAGGGTCCACACTGGCAGCTACTGGAGCTCACTTCCAGATGAATAACCAACTTTAACTTTATAACAATATAAAAGTCAAACTCACGATTCTTACAATTATGACCTTGATTGTTTTTCAGAGGAGACAGAAACCAACTGTTGTCTTTACACCGCTGAAATATGAGCCTACAACTATGACCATAGACTGGTTTAAATGGGTGTTTGATATATAGTTCTATATGTACATATAGTTCTCTATATTATATTACTTATTTATTTTATAAGACACATTTCTATAAATTGTATATAATTTATCAAGATTTTATAATAGCAAAATATTATGGCTAACTTCTAGACTATTGGTTAACTTTTAATTAGCCAATAGTGCTTTGTAAAATTATTGGCCAAGTTCGGGTCCAGTCTAAATTTATGTTGATATTTTTTACATTACCCACAACTGTTTTTTGGTTCCTTAAATTTACTTCATAGTGACATGCCATTGTTTTGCAAAATAATATGATTGTATTTAAGTTATTTTGCTGCAAAATGCTTAGTATAGCTGTAAGCACTAAGAGTTTTAAGAAAAAGCTTTAAAGTACAAGCATTTTCAAACTATGAAATCAGCCCAGGGAATTTCAAAAACCATTAATTTCATAAAGCATCAGGACGAAGCCTGACTGAAGCTCCCACAGACTTTTGTTTTGACTGGCTGTGATCTAAAAAAACCCAGCAGAGAGTACATTGTGAGGGCGGTTAAGGGCGATTAGAGATAGTCATCCATGACTACGTGTGTCAGCCTTTGACTTCAGTCACTCAGAGGGAGGATAAACAGTGAGCTGTCTGCCGCCAGGGCAGAAAGCATAACACTTAGGCTGAATTACAGATATTAAAATGTCAGGACAGTTTGTTGTGGATGAGACACAGCATTGATCCCAGATGGCAATGGGGCTAGATTACCACTGGGTCTGCTGGCCTTAATGTGTGTTGACATGGAGGAGGCGTGGAGGCGGGGCTGATGGAGGACGACACAAAAGGAAAACAAGAATACCAGGAATATAAGGAGTAAAAAAAAGTTAAAAAAAGTTATTTTTTGATGATTTTAGAGCCACAGACACAATGGTGACCTTTTTTAACCTATAGGATTTGATAGTAAATTCAATGCTATATGTATAATCTAATCTGGATATTTTGGGCCTTGGAAGTAAAACTAGAGAACCTGGAAAAAACTCATGAACAAATTATATAGAAAGACAATCGGTTGTCAAAGGGATGTGAACCAGCGATGCTCTTGCTGTAAGGCAGGAGCACTAACCAGCTTTCCACCATGTGGCAAAACAGTTTTTATAACAGTTATCAGTCAAGATAATGCTAATTAAGATCATGCCAATTTATACTGTGAATTGGGTAGAAACGGTTGTCGACTGCAAAAACATAACATTTAAACTAGTTTAATGTTTTTAGCAGTTAAATATGAACTACTGATATTGCTATGCTTCATTAGTCCACTAGATGGCACTGTGCACTAAGCTGTACCACAATAGTGGCTTGACTTGCTCTCTCTGCAGTGAAGACAGAATGACTTGCGGGCTTCAGAGTACAGCTGTTTAATCACGGCGTGTCCTTGCACATCAATACTTCTTATACTGATACTGATAAAACAGGAATGTTCTGACATTTCTACTGAGTGACGAGGTCTCTCTGTCTCAGTCAGGTCTCCAGTGTTCTGACTACGGCTGGATTCAACATCGGACCCGGATAAGAATTAGTGCTTGGCATTGAAAGCAGCGGGGAAGCTTCAAACGCAATCAGTGAAGGGCTTTGCAGAAGTCTTAATAAAAGTGGTCTGTGCAGACATGTTTGTTGTTACCTCTTATCCATGGAGCTGGAGGCCTGGTTCATCTCACTGTTGGAAATAAAGTTGCGGATTTCTGAGAAGTACGAGTCTTCCTTCTCTTCTAAAAGTGCATGATTGTCAGGCTCCGAGTTTGGCGAGGAGATCGTGGTTCCTAGGTTGGAAAGCATCCCGGACTGTTGGCTCACTGTTGAGGAAAAGCAAACAGACACACACACACACACACACACACACACCAGACACAAACACACACAGACATCCAAACACGGGAAGACGATTAGTTTGATGATTGTCAGACATGCATGATATATTTCAGTGAAGAAAACGCAATAATATTATTTAAGTTGTTTCTCTTTTTATAACGCTGAAAGAAAGCTGAGTCTACACAGTATTAAACAAACAAAGAGAAACGGGTGTTCCACCACGACACACGATCATTGTGTATTTAGTTAATACATGCGCTGGGAGACGCGATCAAGGGAAATAACTAGGAATTTGGCGTACTTTGTCGACATCTGGTGGTAAACGAAAGCGTTTTAGTTTAAATTTGTACAATTTGTTTTTCTTTTCTTGCTCATCATTAATTTTAATTTAATGTTTTTTAAAATATACAATTATTTTAAGGGTCACGGGAGAAGCCGGAAGCCAAACCAGGTTTAATTCATAAAAGTAAGAAAGTAAGTCGTTTTTAATATTACATTTACATACTGTATATATATTCTAACTTTGCTCTTAGCTATAGAGAACCACTGTGGGATTTGAGGACAAATGTTTAACAAAATATACATAAAGAAATTCAAAATAAAGGGCATTTACTGGAAAATATTTTTTGTTGCCAGCAGGAAGACAGTCCTGATTTATTAGTCAGTATGTTTAAGTATTTTAGCAGATGCTTTTGTTGATTGTTGTGACACAGAATTAGAAATCTGTTTCCAGAGGACTAATTTAGAACACAGTAGGAAACACCTGGTCCCTCTGTCACCAGGAAGTTCATCATGAGTTTCATCTCACTGACATACTTATGTCAAACAATAGCCTTCTTTGGAATCTGAAAAATTCAGTCTGTATGTTCGGTGAAGTCATCCAGTAGTTGGAACCAGGCAGCGTTTTCACAGTGCCTTGTTTCACTCTGGCGTTGTTTTAAATTTTGAAACGTTAACATGATTATTCGGCCTAGATCAACATTTCTCCTCCAGCATTTTGTGGAGCAGACTTTCTTTGAAGGACATAACAGGTTTTCTTTGGCAGCAAAGTCAGGAAGACTATTGTGAATGTATTCATAATTAAGTAACATGATCCTTCATTATTCAGTATTCACACAGAAAACACTCTTTAATAACCACACGGCAGCTCTCTAAGCCCCAGAAAGAGAACACTGAGAAGAACTGACCAGGAATGTTTTCGTGCTCGTGTTTCTTGAGATGGCGGTCCAGGTTCGTCTGCTGGCCGAAGCAGCGGTTGCACAGGTGACACTTGAAAGGTTTCTCCTTGTTGTGGATGTTGCGAACGTGGCGTTGAAGATTGGATGAGATGCTGAAGGAGCGGTCACAGTATTTACACCTGCCAAAAGAGAAGAGAAGAAGTGAGCGTGGATGAAAGAGTGAAAGCAGAAAAGGGGGGAAAACATCATCTCCAAGGCATACAACTTGGAAAATTAACATAACTGAGTCATGTGAAGAGGCAACAAGTCCTGCAGAGAAGTCAACAGTGGAATGACTTAAAACTACTCACTGACAGATGATCTCTGGCCAGTCAATTTTGCCTTAGTTATCTACTTTTAATTTTTTGGATGGCATCACTCTGTTTTTTCATGGTCAAAACCCAGAAAAGCTTTTTACACATAGATAAAGACATTCATTTTCATTAAAAAATGAGAGAGTAAAACAAAAGTGAAGCCTGTGACACAATGTAGACACTCAGGACAAAGGCAGGATAAATTAGCATCTGTTTTGGAGTGAAATATGAAATATAAGCCTCAGATTTACAGTATTTACATGTATTATGGTAACTGTTTTCTTGTTCACTTGTCACATCATTGTTTTTTTCTTGTACAGATCCCTAAATATGGTGATGATTGAAAAACATCCATGCAAAACCTGCAACTAAATGAAAAGAGAATAAAGAGCATGTTGCCCACCTGTAGGGTTGTTCCCCTGTGTGTGTCCGCAAGTGCCTGGTGAGGTTCGCTGAGCGTGGGAAGATTTTTCCACAGTACCTGAAGTGAAGTAAAGGGAAGGGAAGGATTTTAAATTTGGATTAAATTCAAATTCGACTTCAACTGGATTTAATTCATTTGTCAGTTGGGCACTGACCTGCAGGCGTAGCGCTCCTTGCCCTTGCGCAGGATGGCGTCCGAGAGGGAGGGTGGCGGTGAGCGGAAGTTGAACAGTGGATGAGCGGAGTGTTGCAGTGAGTTGGGCGGTGCATCAAGTTTAAGAGCGCCAAAGCTCTCTAGCTTCTCGGTCATGGTCTCCATGGCTGACATCTAGAGAAAACAATTATTAGTAAAAATAAATATCATTTGTTTTTTTGTATTTTTACTGTAATATTTCAAAGATTAATTAATGAGCTCCTCTTTGCCCTCAAGTTGGACTGTGGGATGATTAATGTTTTCTAGATCTGGATTTACTTCCTTATTATCATGTCCACTGGTAACAGGTGTGGGTCACGTGACCGTCCCAATGCCTTTACATGGGTTTTTAAAAAAATAGATTTAAGATGATTACTTTAAATAAGGGTCATTTCAGTCCTTTTGTGTGATAAATTAAAGCCACAAAAAAAAAAAAAAAACATGAAAAAAGACAGAGAACGGATGTTGGGAGGAAACAGTATATCAGAGGTTAGTCTTGTTGGTTCTCTATAGCTGAGTCACCTCTCTGACCTGTAACACTTGTTCAATTGTTTGAGAACCACTTCTCTCCACTACACCCTCCTCACCCCCTCTTCCAAACACCCTCACCCCCATCTTTAGCCTCTGCTTTGTTCTCCCCCCTCTCTGCTGCTGCAGATGCAGCCTGACAAACTAACTGACTTAATGAGCCATTCAACAGCCCTGACTGGACCTGTACAACATACAAGTGGCTGGACCATACCCCCAGCTGAAAGGCTGCTTCCCCTCCCATACAGGCTGGTGAACAAAGAGGTCCGGTTATGTCGAAGTTTATTTGCCAAAAACAGCTTACATCCTTCCTTTTTCTCAGTGAATACGGGACGGGAGAGACAGGGACAGACACTGCGTCTCGACGTGTTTATTCGCAGTCTGAGAACGGGTGGAGCGGGTGATTCCGTCATTTGACTGATTTAGAGGTGGCATTGTGTTTGGATCACAGGGGGAACCGGAGCTGACCAGGATCCAGTATCAGAGGTTTTTACGTGGGAAAACTTTATATCCAAGGAATATTAATCTTTGTATGTTAAATTTTATGAACATGATAATTTAGCAAAATATGAGTTTTTAGTTTATCCTTCATTTCTAACCACTTTAGAGGGCATAAAAATTGATAAGCTTTGTCCACTCATTTATAAAGCATCTCTTTAATTTTAAGATAAACAGAACTTAATATCCTCATAGAGTTTCAGATGTGCATTTATCTGTCTGCATATCCACCGAATGTGTGTATTGCTAAGTCACAGTTGATTGAGGACACAGATTTCCAGGTCAGATTAAACTGCTTCCCCATCGAGAGCCCCCCATTCTCCTGGACACAAACACAGGATGTCCTTGATGGACACACTGCTATTATCTAACCAGCCAGCCACAAGGAATAAAAAAACTTGGAAGAGACTGACTTATTAGCTGGCTAGTGGGCGCACAGAACATTAAACAATGCCACTACTAAGTTTAGCAGCATGGCCAGCAGAGGTAGTTTGCCATGAATCAAATTGTTATTTTTTCTTTTCTTTTATTAACACTATCACTCTGTGCAATCACAGACTCGCAGAGGCAGGGAGGGTCCAGGGACAGTTGAACAATGTGGCTGATTATCAAAGAGACCAGCGATAACACACCGTGTTTTCTGGAAAAGGTAGAGATGCTGAGGTACGCAGGCGCCATTCCATAAACAAAGGAAGAAATCATACAGAACCCTTGAGAAAATAACATCAACACTGTGGAATGATGGTGACCAGGGTCCTATCAATTCAGCTAATGCAGCGTGGGAGGCAGGAGTGGGGCCTTTTCACAGAACAGACAGTAAGAACATAATAGCTGATTGCATTAGGGAATAAAAAGCCTGTGTCATACCTGTACCCTTTGTTGGAGTTTTTTTTTTTGGTCAAACGTTGACCGTTGCTAAATAAGATAACAAAGAAAGTCTTTGCAGACTTGGTGTTTTGTTCACCTACCTGTGGGTGGAAGAGTGGTGGTGAAGGCCTGAGGAACTTTTCCTTCAGTGCTCCTACAGGGTCAAGTAGCTTCCTCTTCTCCACCCTGCTGGACCAATGACAAGGTAGAGGGTTACGTACCAAAGTCAAGTTTGTCTCCAGTCTCTAACACCAACCACTGAATGTTTACAGTAAAAAGAATGCTAGTGTGTGTTCCCAACATTTCTTAAAATTGTATTTATGTACTTGTTTGACTCATATTTATTGTATAAGTATATGCTAGTGTGTTTATCTGCAGTGATGCGGCCCCTCTGCTTTTTTGGTGTTAGAGTCCTAAGGTACAAAACCTCCTGAAGCCTGTCTGAAATTATACGACGATGATTGTGTATGAAACACCTTTTTAAAGTCATCAACATCAACACTTTGACCATGTTTCTGGTCTGATCGGG